CACACACACACGCGCGCGCGCGCGCCCATGTGAAAGTTTCAGTGAAATTGAGTGGGCTATCGATAGGGTGGATGAGACCCCAGAGTGTGTCAGACCGTCAGGCCTTCGCCAAATTTCAACGTGCTCTCACTGAAACTACCCAACGCATCCTGCAATCTGAAGGCCCGCAACATCCCAACGCCGTGAAGACACGTGAGTCCACAGCCCCATCTGCTAAGATCCTTGTTAACACCCAGCTAAATTGCAGCTAAATACGAACCCAGATGAAATCAGATGAAATCATAAGATCCCGGGATATCCTCGGACTTCTTCTATGCACCAAACCGTCGAGGACGGCTTAGTCGCCCCGCAGATCATCAAGGCACATTTTGCCAAAAAACCTTAAATCTGGGTGTTCCAAGATGGAGTCAGTTCTCTCGAAAGGTAGGTGTTTGGGCTCAGGCCAGCACTACAGGTAAATCCTAAAGCTGTTGAACCTACGTTACATCCTAAACCTCATAAGCCCGAAACAATAGCCTTATAAGACTTAAATCCCAAGCCTTAGACCCTAAACCCGAAGCCCGAAATCCCAAACCTTAAACCCGTGTGTGAACTCTGGGCAGAAGGCTGGTCAGCTGTAGGTTAAGGATCTTTTGCGGGATCGAAAACTTGAGTTTGTATGAAATTTTAGGGCTTGAGATTTAGGACCTTTGTTGCAGTGACCTTGGTAAGGCTCGTAGGCTGAGTTAGATTGTGCGTATAGGGCTTATATTATATATGATAGATCATGATCTTTAGCTCTCCTTTGGACTTTGGGGCTTAGAGGGTTTGCGGGAGTCCCGAAGGACTTGTGTTCCTTGGGCTTGCGGTTTAGTAACGTTAGCACGGCTGCGCATTCAGAGGTCATGGTCCTCGGTTGTGACGTGGCTGTCGGGGATTCCAGTTTAGGCTTCTGGTTGCATGGCTTCCCTTCGCCCCCAGTCTGGTCCCCAGATTCCAACCGCTTCATGTGCTGAAGCTTTTAAAGGGGTTCAGGGGAGAATAGTAGCACAGTTTTGACCAAGCTGGAACCGTCTACCTTGGAACCGGATCAGTGTGCAAACCGCGACCAGAAATTCCCAAAGTCATCAACCCAGACAAAACCCAAGCCTCCTGAGAAGCCTACACCGCCCTAGAGCCCAGACCCAAAAAACTAAGCCCAAGGCCCCATGCCTTAAACCCGGCCCAGGCCCGAAACCCTAAAGCTCTGAAGCCCAACACCCTAAACCCCAACCCCTAAACCTGCAAACCCTCAACCCATAAAGCCAAAACTTACCCTTAAACCCTACACCCTTAGAGACCCCTGAGCCGATCAGGGCTACCGAATGGCCTGTAATCTTGCCGTCTCCAAGCTCCTGGACATGGCTGTGGACCTCAAAGACAAGTCACCTGAGGTGGGCTTGGGCTTTGGGCTCCGGGGCCCAGGATAATGTAGCTTGGGGTTACTATTATAGGGGCTTCAATCATTACTAGCACTGTTTGGGGCTCCTAACTATAATATACCCCCAAAACCACTGTTAAGGCTGCTATATTACCGGCCCCCCTGGCATTGTGCTTCCTCCCCCTGTACGTTGCGTACTGGGAAGGCACAGTCACACTTCGGACCTGCAGCTTGTAGCTTTGGCCCATGCTCCACTGCAGGAGAAGCGGTCCATGCTGGTCAAGTGTGCAGAGACCACACTGAATTCAAAGCCACTTGCTTAAATTTCAATGTTCAGAGTAAATGCGATGAGCAGCATTACCGCGATTATCTCCTCGCCGTCGCTCCGCTGCCGAATCCACCATCATCAAACCAACACAGGGTCCCATTCAGGGGTAAGGGTTTCCATTTAGGGGTAGGCATCATCATCACCACGAGCATGACTCGCTTGTCATTCGGCTGGTTCATTGGTGTATTTAAACAGTCGAGGAATATGCCGGTGACGATGGCCGAGCTCCCAAGATCTGCGTCGCCCCAACCCCAAGCCTGAAACCAGGAATGTGCCGTGGCGTTCTGAATCTTATTGAAGGAACCCAAGAAAAGGGAACGACACGAAGCAAACCATCCTCACCGTAAATGCAAGCAAGCCCATGCAAGGCAGAAGGAGTGCCGACTCAGCCAAATCTTAGAGAGTCTTTAAGAGAGAAGAACGCCGGCCATAATCCTCGTTCTTTGTCTGGGCTTCAGGGTTTTTAGAGCCTTCGGGTTCTGCGGCTGTAGGGTTTCTGATATTTTTTGTTCGGTCTGAGGTTTCCCCACTTCCGAAACCCTAAACCCTAAACCCGCTCAGGCTGGTGGCAGATTACAAGACCTTTTTTGCTGAGATGTCCGTGGACGCCATCTCCCTTCTTGGTGATGACATGTCCGTCTCATCCGTCGGCATCAAGAAGGCCATTAAAGGGAGAAGCCCTTGCGGTGAAGTTGAAGAGTTCAATTGTCAACAAACTCGAAGTTCAGCCCAAAAGACCCCCAAAGTTGGTTCAAGCCTGGTAGTACTGAATGCCTGAGATGAAAACCCGCGCCCGAGGTGACGGGAGGTTCAGTAACCGACACGCTGCTGGTGCCCGGTGTGTGCTTCAAGAAGTGCTTCTCCTATGCTGGCTTCGAAGCTTTGCTGCACTGGATGCTCCCGCTATCGAGGTGCGTGGTTGTACTTGATGATTGAGCTGCAATGGTGCAACTTAGGTCGATTTAGGCATGTTTTGCAGTGGGGTACCCGTTTCAGATGACAGCCAAGTTTCCGGGGTTCGAGTTCACAATGCTCACTTGCCGTTGGAGTGCAGGCAGTGCAAGCACTTCACTGGACCTTGAACTGCACCGCACCCCGACTCGAATCCCAAATCAGATCAGGAAAGCCTGAACCTTGACTACGCCAAGTGAAAGCCTAGGAACAGCAGCCCAAGCGTTTCGAGAATGCCAAGATTCTGCTCCTGACCCTCTGTCGGCAAGAATCTGCATGTTGGGGGACTTCCCTGCCTGCTATCAGTAGTGTCAGTAGAGCAAATTATACATACCAATGGCTTCAGATTATTGTGTTCTCAATGTAACCAGAGCCATTAAGCAGCTTGGTTTGCACGAATGTTACCATGGTTGCTGAAATCGTTGCGAAACGTTCCATCGCTCGCTGCTATCAGAAGCATGCTTGCCAGCATCTTACCTTGACATGACCCTTCTGTTAGCTGGTATTCCTATTTCGAGCATGAAAAACGATTGTTTACCTTGTACTCAGGCCTCTTCTGCTGCTGCTCCTATTATGCTACTTCGATCACGACGACGACTACTGCAGGTGTTCCTGCTCCTGCGTCGGCCTATTGCTACAACTACCTGTACGACGACGACTACTACTACTCCTGCTGCTGCTGCTGCTACTACTACTACTACTACTACTGCTACTACTACTGCTACTGCTAGTACTACTACTACTGCT